ACCAGTGTCGGCTCCTGGCTCCGTGTCTATCCCCGGGGCTTGAGGCCGTATCTTCCCCACAACCCGCTGGCTCTGTCTCCGCCACCGCGGCCGCGGCCCCGGCCCCGGCACCGGCCTCAGCTCCGCTGCCGCTTCATGCGGGACCGGGAGAGTATCCGCCCCGAGCCCCCTCTCTCCTGGGCTCAGCCCCGCCGCCACCGCCGCCGCTTCCGGCTCCAGCAAACAAACCCGACTTAGTCCGACCCGAGTTTTTCCTGTTTCCGTCTTTCTTTGCTCTCTCTCTCTGTCTGTCTGTCTGTCTGTCTCCTTCCTTCGGTTTCCGACCGACAGACCCAGGGAGGGAGGCAGTTCCACCCGCCAGCGCCTTCTGACGGCCACGCGCTGAATCGTCCTTGGAGTTTGGCTCTCACCCTCAGCCCCCTGCAACCCTCACCCTCTCCAACCCTAACCCTCTCCCTCTCCCTTTCCAAAACTCACTCCATCACCCTCCCTCACATTCAAAAAGCCCTCTCGCACACCCTTATCCTGTCCCTTCTGCTTCGTCATACCTGCTATTCTTCTCCATACCCGTCCTTCCCCCGCGCTCCCCCCATACTTTGCCCCCGGGTTCTCCCCCTCCCCCGCATTCCTCTTTCCCCACACGTTCCCCCCTCCATGTGTGATGAATCACAATTTGTGCACAGTAAGATTCCACAAATAAAATAATAACCAGATAATGTTCTTCAGTAAATTTAAGCAAAATATGGTAATGCCAGTGTGGAGGTTGGTTAGCTAAGTTGGCTGGATAGCTGGTTTGGAATACCAAGTGACTCCAACATTGAGAGTTCAATTCATGTACTGGCTGAATGACCCAATACTCCCAACCTCTCCCTTTGCCTGAGGCGTGGTGACCCTTAGGTTAAATCACCATCAGCCTTCTCTCTCTGTCTCTGAGAGAGCAGACCCTGGTTGTATTCATCTGGGACAATGGTAACTTTACATTTAATCGATTCAAAGCTATGTTTCTCTTTCCACAAACCTGCTGAGTTTCTTCAGCATTCTGTACTTTGTATATAACACTCTTCAGTGATTGCCTGAGGGATGTGGGTAACTGGGTCATTCTGAGTATTTGGGGTGATCACCCCCAGACCTGGGCAATGGTGGAGCCCATGCTCAGGGCTACCAGCTATGGCCAATGGCAGGGCCAGCTTATGTTTTCATGGTCGGGGGGGGGGGGAGGCACAAAACTCGAGGGAGCATGCCTTGGGGAGAGGATTTGTGTTTCCTTCACACCAGGAACGTTATGGGGAAGTCTCTTCATTTATTCTTTACCCAAGTCTCGTTGAAGTTGAAAATTGGAATCCCTGATAAGGAATTACAGCAGAGGCATGAGGAGAGGAACTGCAATGTTGAGGGATAAACACCAGCTGTCACACAAGGGCCACACTCCTGCTTTTCAATGTAGTAGCCTTGGGATCATTTACATCTGTGTTAAACCGCAGATCAGATTAATATCCCCTCCAAAAGCCAGCACCTTTGACAGAGAAGCACTTCCTCAGTATTGGCCCCCTGACAGTGCAGCTCTCAATCAGCACTGACTCTCTGATAGTGCAGCACGCCTTCAGCACTGATCTTCCGAGAATGTGGCGCTCCCTCAGCGCTGACCCTCCTGTGGTTTATTTGGACACTCAGAAGGTTTACGACATTGGTTGACATAAGACATTATTGTGTACATTTCAATCACATGGAATTGGAGGTAGTGTATTCAGATGGATAGAGAACTGATTGGCAGACAGGAACCAAACAGAAGAAATAAAAGGGTCATTTTTTGAATGGCAGGCAATGATTAGTGAGGTACTGCAGGATCAGTGCTAGGATCCCAGCTGTTCACAATATACATTAATGATTTAGATGAGGGAACTACATGCATTATCTCAAGTTTTCGAACACAGAGCTGGATGGAAGGGTGAGCTGTGGGGAGGATCCAGAGATTTGGACAAATTTAGTGAGTGGGCAAATGGAGAATATGTGGATAAATATGAGGTTGTCCACTTTGGTAACAAAAACAGAGTTTTGAGGAAGGGTCACTGGACCCGAAATGTTAACTCTGATTTTTCTTCACAGATGCTGCTAGACCTGCTGAGCTTTTCCAGCAACTTCAGTTTTTGTTCCAGATGAATTAATATTTGTATGGCAATAGACGGGGAAATTCTTGTATACCAGTCACTGAAGTTAAGCTTTAAGGTGCAGCAGGGTGAGGATAGAGTTAGCCTTTATCGTGAAAGGTTTCGAGTACAGGAGCAGGAATGTCTCACTGTAATTATACAGGGCCTTGATGAAACCACATCTGGAATAGTGGGTGCAGTTCTGGTCTCCTTTCCTGAGGAAGGATGTTCTGGTGATGGAGGGAGTATAGTGAAGGTTTAACAGACTGATTTCTGAGATTGCAGGACTGACATATGAAGAGAGGCCAGATTGGCTAGGGCTATATACACTGGAGTTTAGAAAAATAAGGAGGGATCTCATAAAATTCTAACAGAACTAGACAGAATAAATGCAGGAAGGATGTTCCCAATGACCAATGAGCCCAGAACCAGGGGCACACTCTAAACATATACGTTAGGCCATTTAGCACAGAGATGAGGAGAAATTTCTTCATCCAGAGAGTGGTGAACCTGTAGAATTCTCTGTCATGGAAAGTGGTTGAGGCTAAAACATTCAAGGTTTTCAAGGAGACAGATATAGTTCTCAGGGCTATAGTGATCAAAGGGTATGGGGAGGAAGTGGGGACACAGAATTGACCTGGGTGGTCGGCCATGATCATATTGAATGATGGAGCAGGCTCAAAGGGCCGAATGGCCTTCTCCTGCTCCTATTCCTACCCCAGCTGTTTTCTCTTGTGGCCACAAATAAAACCTCAGTTTTATGACTGGGAAGAAAGACAGTGCACTTGACAAAACCCCACTGAGGTGATGTTTGGATCCAAGTGAGAGAGGTTCAGGCTCAGCCACCACTTCACTGTTGAAAGGCTGATCTTGAAATTGAATGTTGTTGGGAATGTGGCAGGGGTTTCAGTGTTTGACCATCAGTGAAACCAAAATCCATCAATTACATTGAAATAAAAGCAAAACGCTGTGGATACTGGAAATAAAAACAGAGAATGCTGGAGAAACTCAGCAGATCTGGCAGCATCTGCGGACAGAGAAACAGAATTAACATTTCAAGACTAGTAACTCTTCTTCACAAGTTGGTGAGAGTCAGTCCCTTCAGGAGAGGAAGGGTCCCTGTACCCCAGTCACGGTCAGCCTCTTCAGGAGAGGGATGTACTCCACTGAGAGTCTCCCCACCCTCTGGCAGGGTGATTCTAATCCTCACTGCTATGACACTAAGCCCTTGCAGGGTGAAGGTATCTTTGCTCTGGATTCTTGTTGACTCTTGCATCATATTAAGAGGGGAAATGACCCATCCCTCATCACTGTCCAGAAAAACAAAATGGCAACCAAACGGGTTGCTCAGTATCACTAAATTGCACCAGGCAGAGTTGGCTATTCGACTACTGAAACCAGTGCATCTGAGGCCACACCCTGGATCAAAACAGGACCCTTCCCCAGAGAGGTCCAGCTCCTTACCCTCAGGGGGATTAGGCAATGTTCCCTGGAAGCTGCCCCTCCTCACTATAACTCACCCTTCTCCCAGCAGTGGGGGCTGCAGGAGGGTCTGGGCTGAAACGACCCAACCCCCTCCACCTCTTGGCCTGGACCAACTGAACCCGGGCAAGGGGTCACTCCCACCAACAGATATTTACCCCCAACCCCATTTTCCAACAGCTCAAATCCAGCTAAAAAGATTTCAGCAAAAGTGACTTCCTTCAAACTTCTCCATTTTCCCTTGATGGGGGGAATTTGGCCCCTCACTTGCTGCAGTGGATAGCAGAGTGCAGTTACCTCCTGGACCCAGCGTTCTCCGCTGCTCCCCTCCAGCAATGGATCCGGTCTATCCACTCACATTCACATGGACAAGGCTTTTAAAAAGACATTTAACAACTACATAGAGATATTGGCAAAACGAAACCCAAGGGATTACAAGGGCTAGTTACTGCTTTGAACCCCAAGGGTGTATAGTAACTTGTATAGACAGAACTATATTTCAAATTTTTCAGTTGATGGAAAACTCAAAATTAACACAAAACGGATGATAAGACTTCAGAAAGATGTGGACTGAATGATAGAAATTGAAGACAAATGTAGAAGCATTATTTAAATGGTGATTTTAACAGTAAAACATCCCAAAATGCTTCACAGGAGCAGATATCAAATAAAATTTAATATTGAGTCACATTAAGTGATATTAGGGTAGAGTACCAAAAGCTTTTTAAAAAATTCTTTTGCAGGATGAGGGCATTTCTGGCTAGATCAGCATTTATTGCCCATTGTTAATTGCCCTGGAGATGTTCGTGAGCTGCCAAACTGTTACAGTCTGTGGTGTAAAGACAAACATAATGCCCTTAGGGAGGGAATTCAAGATTTTGACCCAGCAACAGTGAAGGAATGGTTATATATTCCCAAGTCAGGATGGGGGATCTTGCAGGGGGTGGTGTTCCCATGTATCTGCTGCACTTGTCCTTCTAGATGGAAGTGGTTGTGGGTTTGGAAGGAGCTGTCTGAGATTTTTTTTGTGAATTTCTGCAGTGCATCTTGTAGATAATACACACTGCTGCTACTGAGCTTGTGGATGCTTGTGGACGTGGTGCTAATTAAACGGTTGCTTTGTCCCGGATGGTATCAGGCTTCTTGAGTGTAGTTGGAGCTGTCCATCCACACAAGTGGGGAATATTCCATTATACTTGCTGCAAGATTCCTAGCCTCTGATCTGCTTTTTCAGACACAGCATTTATATGACTTGCCTAATTCAGTTTCTGGTCAATGGTAATCCCCAGGATGTTTGTTTACGGGATAGATTTAGAATTAGATGAACTCAGTACTGGAATGAAAGTGAGTTAGATAAATATTTGAAGAAAAAAATTGCAAGACAATAGGGAAAAAGGAGGGGGAGTGGGATAAATTGGACTGGCCTATTTATAAAGGCAGCTTAGGAGAGGAGCTAATGATGGGAAGTCCGTGCTGGGTTCCATCCACTCAATGATGTTTTCAGTACCACAAGGTGTCAATGTGGGTGATTACAGCAGGTTAAATATCGGGGGCGCAAGGGTGCAGTTGGGCTGTAAATCCTGTACAATCTAACTGGTCAAGCAAATTCGATGGGCTGAATGGCATTCTCCTGTTGCTGTGACCCTTTCTGATGTTGTCTGTCAGGAAGTCAACGCGTTGGACACAGATGAAAAGTGAATTGGTATAAACACAGAATAAAAATCGGAGCCGACATGTTTTTGGGAAGATTGTCACTTTTATT